TTCCTGGAAGCAGTGTAGAGCCACGGCAAGCAGGGATCCTGCCTTAGCCCCGCTGCACTGCCGACTGGACTTTTAACAGGCTGGTCGGTGGTGTTGACCGGAGCCACCAGGGTCCCGTTTCGACCAGGCATTCCAGTCAAAAACCAGACACCTGGCAACCCTACAAGGAGTCCAGGGCAGAGCAAGCAGATGAACCCAGGTCTCCCGAGTTCCAGGCTAGAGCTCTAATCACTGGATCACCCTTCCTCTCTTTGTCACATAATTGCTGCCCAGTGAGCTGTCTCACTCCCCATCTAAACAGTGGCCTGTTTGGAACATAAGCCAAGGAATTTTTCTTTCTACTTGTTTGCAAAACGTCTCGTTCCCTCCTGGGGCTACACTAACACAGCACCATTAAATCTGGCGGCCTGGTGACAGAGAGGTAAGGACTGTTAACTCCGGAACTGTGGGTCTGGAGTCTGGTTCTGCAGCTAAAATAAGAACATGTTCCACAAGTCAAAGGAATCTGTCTTACATTCCGGCAAGTTCCATAGTCGGAGGAACGGCCACAGCGCCACCCAACAGCCATGATCTCAGTTGCCGCCAGAAGAACCTGAGAGAGCAGGAAATGATTCAGGATGAATGGTACAATCCAGTCTGCTGGCACCAAGAGCTGGCAGTGAGTTTCTTCCCTTATTCAGCATGGAACATTTATGAACTACCTTTCATCCCAGTCTTAAATCCTGCAACGAGACCTGTGGACAGATCCTCATGCCTATGCAGAGCACCACCGAAGTCATTCATGGAGGTTCTGGCTGGTGCTGTGCTCCTCGTGGGATTAGGGCTAAAGTTAGATCCCTGGCAATAGGCTGTACCACGTTTATCTAATATCTGTCTGCAATGTCTAGGTGGCTGGTTATGCACGTGTGCTTTGCTTTTAGAGCAAATGTTTTGCTGCATATAGAAAGTTAGAAATGTCAGAAGGACCAGCATTTAGAAGCCATTATCCACCACCGTCTCTTTATTCTGTGTTTGTACAGAGCCCTGGGCCTAGTCATGGGCTGTAACTAGGGCTCGTAGGAGCTACAGTAATACAAATAAACGATAACAAATCAGTGTATGCAAAATGGAAGATGAATTCCCAATAAAATAGAACTGGGACTACAGACACCTGAGTTCTATTACCAGGGCTTTGCCAATGACAAAATCACTTAATGTCTATGTGCCTCAGTTATGAACATAACACATGCCTTTAAAGCAGCCGGCGATACGGGGTGGAATTCTGGACTCACTGAAGTCTATGGGAATTTTGCCAAAGACATCAATGAGGCCACATAAAGTGATTTTCCTCTAACAGCAAAATAGTATTATTACTGTTTAAAAGCAGCCAAGGAGTCACTGCAAACAATTGTACAGGATACTTTGCTAGTTATACTGACACTAGCACAACATACCAGTAGTCATCTTGGAGCCGAGCTGGGCAAACAGTAAGAAAAGTTAATTTAAAAGCATCCCAGAATTCATCAAATATGTTATTAGACTATTGTTCGCTATCCAGCTCCATCCCAGCCCTTGCCAGGGCGCCTGATTGCACTGCCGAGGTTCAGAGCAAAGCGTGGCCATTCTGGAGCAGCTTTCTTGGAAGATAATGATCATTTCACTCAGTGGCCTGATGTGTCACCATGAACCTGGCTAGGCCCCAAAATGGCCTCACTGGAAAGCAGCATGGAGAAGTTTGGATTAGCAAATACAGAAATTACTAGCACCAAGTAGATGGGCAAAATGACGACACAGCATGGGCTGCAGATACCATAGGCTGAGGGAGGCTGTGCCTCCTCAAACAGCCAGGCGTGGCCTCGCCCATGCTCTGCCCCCAGGTCCTCTGCTTCTGCTCTGCAGCCCGGCTCCAGGGGCTGGGGCCTCGCCACCCACCCTCCTGTCGCTCCAGGGCTTGGGAGGGAGGGCTGCGGTGGCGCTGTCTGCCCTCCCTGGGTGGGTGGCTGTGGGGCTCTGGGCTCCGGCAGAAGGGGTGGAAGGGGTGGTGTCTGGGGCAGAAGGGACAGGGCTGAGGGCTAGCCTCCCCCAGCCGGTGGTTCATGCGCCGCCCATGCGACATGGAAGTGATTCTTGCTAATGGTCATTATACCAACTAAGGACATTATGGGGGAAAGGACTAATTATTTTACTCTGTTAACTGTTCCAAGAGGTTTGTAAATTTGTGATTTTTCTATCTGGATTTTCTTTTCTGTTACCCTTAGGACTTGATCCAAAGCCTATTAAAGCCGATGTGAGTCTTTCAGCTGACTTCAGGTCAGGTCTTACACAGTATGTAGGTATGAGAAGTATGTTAGTGTCAGCCACCAGCACACAAAGCCCCGAGGAAAAAGGGGATGTACTGACATCCAGAAGCCTTTCATAAGGCTGTAAGGGCTCACCCTGATCATCCAGTCTGCCCTGCTGTCTAACACAGCCCATAGAATGTCAGCCAGGGGTTCTAGCATGGAGCCTAACACTTCCCCAGCTTACCAACGTCCCCATTTCTCAGGTGGGGAAACTGAGGCACAGAGCGGGGAATGGGCTTGCCCAAGGTCACCCAGCAGGCCAGTGGTATCATGCCCTACCCACTGGACACACTGTGTCCAGGCCTTGGTCCTGTGACTCCCTTGGTGAATGTTCTGTCCAAGACAGTGCACACATGCTGGGGGAAAGGGAAAGGAGGGCAAAGGAGTCACACCACTTACAATTATGCCTCCTCCCCAGACTCCTGGCACTTGCATAGCCTGTTTGGTGATGCGGCCCTCCTTCACATAGCTCCACGTCCAGCTGGGGAAGAGGAGGAGCACGTTGGCAGCAATGGAAAGCACACCCAAGGCAATGAGGCATGGGCCCAGAATCCGAGTGCACTTCCCTACGCACATTGTCGTCAAGCCAGTGAGCCCTGCACAGAAGGGAGGGGGAAAGGGAATGATTGGATTTCACACGCTCTGGGCCAGATCCTCATCTGGTAGAAGGAAGCATAGTATCACTGACTTCTGCAGAGCTTCGCTGAGGATAGGACTCCCCTTTTGGGTTTGTATGACATCTAAATGCCATTTCTAAGACTTACTCAGGTACTTAAGCCATGGGCACTTGCCTCTTTGCTTGCTATTAAGGTCATGTCTGCCTTCTCACTAGGCCTGGATGTTTTCACTCTAGCTGTGTGTACCCGGGTAAGAGCATTGCCATAACTATGGTAAAGCATCAACAATAAAGAGCTGTATATACTCAATGTATTTCCGCTTTGTTCCCACTCTCCATCCTCAGTCCTACTGCTGGCTAGCACAAGGGAGACGTTGAATGCTTTCGAAAACCTGGCCTCTTTATTTTGGTGAGCTCTCAAAATCCAACCCAATGGTGAGTTCTGACAGGGGCAATGGAAGCTCCCTAAAAGTGGGGGAGCCACCGGTGCCTGAAATGAGGCCCCACCCTTGCGCTGCCCCTTCCCCCAAGGCCCCACCCTTGCACTGCCTCTTCTCCCAAAGCCCCACCCCTGCGCTGCCTCTTCCTCCAAGATCCCACCCCTTCCTCCTCCTCTTTGCTCTCTCCCTCCCGGCCAGTACAAAGTAGGAGGGGATAGCCCTTGTACTTTAAAAAGTGATGGGGCCATGGTCCCCTGATCCCCCCTGTTCTGGTGCCTTTGAGTTCTGGCACTTGAAAAATCTGGAGCCTAGTGTATAGCTTCCATCTGAAAAACTTCTCTAACAAGGACAGGAATAGACCTTTTTCTGCACGTCATGAGAAAAATTAACCGCCAAGAGATTTAAGCTGTTAGATTGAGTGTGCCCTTTCCTGAAATCTATCAGCTATGACCAGGCATACCAAATATAGTAGAGAAAATATTTGGTCATGAAAGCAAAACCTCTTCATCTTTCATGACAGAAATGGTATGTCTTCACTACTGGTCAGATCAGCGGGGATCGATTTATCGCGTCTAATCTAGATGCGATAAATTGACCCCCCGAGCACTCTCCCATCGACTCCTGTATGCCAGCTCGGCGAGAGGCACAGGCAGAGTCGACGGAGGAGCAACAGCAGTCAACTCACCGCAGTGAAGACACCACAGTAAATCAATCTAAGTATGTCAACTTCAGCTACGTTATTCATGTAGCTGAAGTTGCGTAATTTAGATAGATTTCCCCCCCCCGCCCCGCAGTGTAGACCAGGCCAAAGATATCATGGATAAAGAGATGTAATTCATAACTAATCTAAAAAACCCAGCCCTAGGATGAGAGGGGAACCTTCTGGTGCAATACTGACACGTCTCATTTAGACAGCTTTTTAAAGGATATGAAAATATGAAAATATCTGCCCAAGAACAGCAATAAGTCAACACTACCAGATTGCTACTAATCAACACCTAGCTCTTCCCTCGCACTTTGCAGCCAGAGTGCCCAGTGCACTTCACAAAGGAGGTGAGTACCATCATCCCATTTCACAGAGGAGGAAATAGAGGCACAGAAAGGTGCAGTGATTGCCAAAGGCCATTCAAAGTTGGGAATAATATCTAGATCACCAGGATATCACTCCCTGTTCTAGTCACTGGGTTTAAGCAGCTTCTGCTGTTACAGCAAGCTAAGAAAGGAGCCCAGCATGGCCAAATTCTACTGGCCAGCGTTGGGAATAGTTGGAGGCTTTCTTTCAAGTAGGGGCTAAGACTGAAAGATATTGATCTGCACCAAAGTTGGCTCCTGGGTAGATTCTTGGATTTCCAAACCAAATAAATGGTATATTTTGCCATCTATAAAGACAACTGAACAAATCTTTGTATCTATCAGGGGCTATTGCACGGATCTCATAAAGTCAATATATTGCAGTGGGATTGCAACTTTAGTAATGTCCCAGATCAGAGAGACCATTTCTTGACAAAAACCCCACATAGCTTATGAAAAAGCAAGAATATATTTAAATAATCCCTTCTTGAAACTCACATCCCAGGCAGAGAAAGGTAAGTATCTCTAATAAAATCAACAAGCTCTGCTGGAGTGAGAAACGCCTTAAATAGGAACTTAAAACATGATCTCCACAGCCTTGTGGTCAAAATTTTGTTTGTCTCCCCAAATGTCTTACAGTTTGAGAACAACAGATGAGAGAGGGCCAGAAAAGGAACTCACTGTTTATATTAAGATTTCCAGGGCAGGGACTGTCTCTTACCATGTGTTTGTAAAGTGCTCAGCATGCTGAGGCTTTGATCTCGGTTGGGGGCTGTAGTCACTACCCTGGGTTTTTTTGGCCTTCCTCTGCAGCATGGGGTACCAGTCAGTTGCAGGTTTAAACTAATGTAAATGGTAAATTCTCTGTAACTTGAAGTCTTTAAACCATTATGTGAGGACTTCAGTAACTCAGCTAGAGGTTAGGGGTCTATTACAGGAGTGGGTGGGTAAGGCTCCATGGCCTGCAATGTGCTGGAGGTCAGACTAGATGATCACGATGGTCCCTTCTGGTCTTAAAGTCTATGAGATAATAAATCCTAGAGGGATTTATTATCCCTGTGTTGGTCCAACCAAGAGATCTTCTCCAGAGCAGTTTCTACCAACTTATCAATCTCTTTACACTTGCCCCACTCCCTCGCCCTTGCTTATAATGATTAGGGTCTCCTGTCAAAGACCAGAAACTAAACCATGCAACTTTGCAAACAACCCACACAGCTCAAACAGCAAATTGTGATTGAATACTCAAAGGAACTTGTTATGAAACTGTTCAGAGCAACCCATAGGTGTTTGTACAAAAACAGTTATAAATAAGAAAAAAATCATGATCTGTTCATGTTCAATACGAAAAGAGAAGGGGCAAATCTAACCAAGCTGTTTGTACTGAATACTTTGACCAACTCCACTTAATTACACTTTGCATTGTCTCTTCAAAATTTTACTTGGAATATATTTACAAAGTAGCAGTGAACATCATTTGGTAACATTCGGACTATTTTAATCTCATTTACACTAGTATGAATCCAGTCATGCTACTGAAGTCAACTGAGGTACCATGGATTTACATTGGTGTGGCAGATTAGAACATGATACAGTGACTTTACTGAGAGTTTTGAAGCTCACTGACCAGATTTAGTCTAAGGGACAAGTTTTCACACCAGCATATACAGTCTAAACTGGAGCTTTTGGCAAAGTGGTGGGGTTTCCAGTTTATATCTCTTTCTATTCTGTGCACGGGATATTTAGTGTTTATGTTTCAGATACATCGTTTTACACAAATTCCCCTCCTAGCCACGTCTTCCCGAAGTCCTCAGGTCAAATTCCACTCAGTTACACCAGAATACATTTGGAATAATTATTCATTTCAATAGAGTTATTCCTGTTTAAACTCAAGGGTGGCAGGTATCGTAGGCTGGGGGAAGCTGTGCCTTCCAAAACAGCCAGGCATGGCCCTTCCCACTCTCTGCCCTCAGGCCCTCCTTCTCCTGCTTCCCACTCTGCGTGGCTCCGTCCCTGTGCGGTGGCCCCGGCTCAGGGGAAGGCACGGAAAGGGCAGGACCTCAGGTGGAAGGGGCGGGGCTAGCCAACCCCAGCTGGCATTTCATGCGCCGCCCATGTTTAAAGTGATAGAACCAAGACCAAAACTTGGCCCTATATCAGTAGAAAATGAGGGTTCCTGTATATCGGCAATAGTTGTGTGCGTAGATCAGTATCTCAAATAACCTTTTCCCAAGCATTTAGCATTTTCTTTGTGAACGGCTTGATTAGTAAACAGTTAGTCATCGTTTAGTAAGAGTAGCGCAGTATTATTTTGAAATTGGGTAATATCAATCTAGATTCACTTTACTTTGTATAACAAGGAACTACAAATTATAAAGGGTCAATGCAACACCCCATTTTGGGGGGTATTGTAGTCAGATAAAGTTAATTTCTGAGCATTTACTGGTGCAAATAAAGTGGCAGCATACTTACAACATGCAGCGATTTTTAACTATGGCTGGTAGTTTTGCAGACAACAGCTGCAGCAAATGAAATTCAGTCTTGCTGAGACATTCAATTAACTCACATCAGCATATGCCCATTTGGATTAAACAGATTTCCAGTGCTTTTTATAGTATCGTGCCTGAACAGTGAAGTTACTATTTAACTAATTTATTTGATGCCTCTGGATTCTATGGCATTTATTGTGCAATCACAGTAAGGTAATCATTTAAAATGATTTTGCTTCAAAAAAATAGACCGAACTGGAACTGGTGAAGTGAAATTTCAGAAGTGAAAGTCAAAATAATTACCCAACAACCCCTTGTACACCTCTGATGTCCTGCAAAACCTCAGCATCGGGGTGAGATGCATCAATTTTGCAAGAGTGGAAGTGGGTAGAACAATTCATCCTGCCAGAACTAAACCAGAAGGAAGCGGACTGAGAATTCTCTTAGCTCAGCTATTTCACGTTCTAAGGAAGCTTAATATTTGAAGCCCATGCAGTGCAGAAGCTAGCCAGCCAGTGCAACTGACTAGTGATAAACTAATCAGGTGCCAGGAAGACTCTAGAGTGAGTAACAATATAATTTGCACATTACAAGATTTGTGCACTATTGCTTGGGATGTTCTGCTCTCAAACCTTTGCTAATGTAAATTCACTGACATTGATGGACTTGGAGAGAGTGCTAGACTGAGAGTTGGGAGGTCCAGTGTGATTCTTGCCTCTGATGCTGATCTGCTATACCCTCTTCAGGAATTCATGTCCCCTTGTGAGCCTCTGTTTCCCCACCACCTGTTGTTTTGTCTATTATGATTATCATAGAATCACAGAATATCAGGGTTCGAAGGGACCTCAGGAGGTCATCTAGTCCAACCCCCTCCTCAAAGCAGGACCAATCCCCAGACAGATTTTTGCCCCAGATCCCTAAATGGCCCCCTCAAGGATTGAACTCACAACCCTGGTTTAGCAGGCCAAATGCTCAAACCACTGAGCTATCCCTCCCCCACTCTTTGAGGCAGGCACTATGTGTTTGAACAGCACCTAGCACAATGGGGTCCAGATCTCAGTTGGAGTCTCTAGGCACTACCACAGTTCAAGTGATAAACAACCATTCGTTGCTTAGCCTTCCAAAGAAGCTGCTCTTCTGGGCCAAGTGTGATGTGGGCACCACTTGCTAGGAATTGGATTGAGCCCACAGGCTCATTGCACACTGGCAGACACACATGACAGAAGGCAACGACAACCACAATCTCCCCGTTTCTTGTACAAAGGGACATCCCTTGGGATGCTTTGGAAATGGCATCCATCTCTTTCCCAGCAGAAGTTTAACGGCTTTGATTAACTTTTCCCCTCAAGCTGCAAACAGGTTCTCTGTCAGCTGATCTCATACACGACAGGCCACTGGTGGGTCACTAGAGGAGATGAAATCCTGAAGGGAGAAAGATTCTACACCAGAGGTCGGCAACCTTTCAGAAGTGGTGTGCCGAGGCTTCATTTATTCACTCAGATTTAAGGTTTTGCGTGCCAGTAATACATTTAAATGTTTTTAGAAGGTCTCTTTCTCTAAGTCTGTCAAGGCTGTATCCCCACTTTGAACTTTAGGGTACAAATGTGGGGGCCTGCATGAAGACTTCTAAGCTTAACTACCAGCTTAGTTCTGGTCTGCTGCCACCATTCTCAAAAACTAATTCCCTTCCCTGGGTAGCCTTGAGAAACCTTTCACCAATTCCCTGGTGAATACAGATCCAAACCCCTTGGATCTTAAAACAAGGAGAAATTAACCATCCCCCTCCTTCCTCCCACCAACTCCGGGTGAATCAAGATCCAAACTCCTTCGATCTTAAAACAAGGAGAAATTAACCATCCCCCTCCTTCCTCCCACCAACTCCGGGTGAATCAAGATCCAAACTCCTTCGATCTTAA